GGTTGAGAGTCCGCCTGCCGATGCAGGGGACACGGGTTCGTGCCCCGGTCCGGGAAGATCCCACATGCTGCGGAGCGGCTGGGCCCGTGAGCCATGGCCGCTGAGCCTGCGCGTCCGGAGCCTGTGCTCCGCAACGGGAGAGGCCACAACAGTGAGAGGCCCGCGTACGCAAAAAAAAAAAAAGAAAGAAAGAAAGAAACCACAGTGGGATATACAATAAATGCCATGAACTGATGGCAAAAAGCTGTTACCCACTTCCCACCATGAGAAAATCAGTCAAGATGACTAGCACGGGTGTTTGGAAAGCTTTCTACATTGTATAATATAATCATTATGTGATACAAGCAGTACTTAGTGAAAACATGGGCAAGAATTGTTCCTGAGTGACACAGACCCCCGTCAGGGAAGTGCAGGGAGTTCTCTGCAGTGAGGTGACATCAGCACAGCAGTTGGGAGACGCACGTGAATGCAAATTGAGTATTTATCCAAGATTTGCTTATGTGCTCACTGATAACTGTGCTCTGAGAAAGCCGTCCCAGAAAATGAACTCTCAGAAATGAAATTAGTTATGTAGTGTCTTGTGTATTTTCTATTTAAGGGAGGCCAAATCCAGAGGAGGAGGGAGACAGGGAGAACGGGCTAAGCAGCAGCCATATTATTACCTTTTCTAACCTGGTGTCACACAGCATCACTGGACGACATCTACCTCTGTGTTGTTTCCAGTTTTTGACAATTACGAATACAGCTGTTTATTAACAATACTACTGGGTTGGCCAAAACGTTCGTTTGGGTTTTTCCGTCATATCTTATGGAAAAACTCAAAGGAACTTTTTGGCCAACCCAATATGTAAGCTTTTGTGTAAATAAAAGTTTTTATTTCTCTTGGGTGAATGCCCAGAATTGAGGTTGCTGGATTGTGGTAAATGTACATAAAACTTACTAAGCCACTGTCATGCTGTTGTCCACCTTGAGTGTGCCATTTGCATTCCCGTCAGCAGTGTATCAGGTTTCAGTCGCTTTGCATCCTGGTCAGCACTTGATATTGTCACTTTTTTTTTGTTTAAGCAATTCAGTAGGTTTGTAGTGACATCTTATTTTGGCTTTAAATTGTATTTCTCTAATGGCTAATAATTTTGAAAATCTTTCATGTACTTATTTGCCTTCAGTATATTTTCTTTGATGAAGCATCTGTTTAGATGTTTCTGCTCATTTGAAAAAAATTGAGTTAATTGTTTCTTATTACTGACTTCTGAGAGTTCTTTATACATTTTGAATACCAAGTCCTTTGTCAGAACTGGGATTTGCAAATATTGTCTCCTAGAATATGGTTGTCTCACCCTTCTCTCAACAGCATCTGTTGCTGAGCAAGACTTTTTGACTTTGATAAAGTCCAGTGTATCATTGTTTTTTTCTTTGCTTTTGGCGTCAGTTATAAAAACTCTTAAACTGGGCTTCCCTGGTGGCACCGTGGTTGAGAATCCACCTGCCGATGCAGGGGACGCAGGTTCGTGCCCCGGTCCGGGAAGATCCCACATGCCGCGGAGCGGCTGGGCCCGTGAGCCATGGCCGCTGAGCCTGCGTGTCCGGAGCCTGTGCTCCACAACGGGAGAGGCCACAACAGTGAGAGGCCCACGTACAGCAAAAAAAGAAAAAAAAGAAAAACACAAAAAAACTCTGACTAAGCCATACATTACTCTGTTGACCATTTCTTCTGGGATGGTGATGTGTCTCATCTAGAAGGCTCATGAACTTCCCATAAGAATCTTTTGTGACTGCTTTTTTTTTTTTTTTAACATCTCTCTTATTTGCACAGTAGTACTTCATATTCCCCCTATGCCAGAGGGATTATTTCACTCTATTAGAGTTGCTTTTATTTCCTGAGCCTTCTGCTAGGCTGTGCTGGGTGGCTAGTATCACAAGGGGAGGGGCTATCTTGCTGTGTTCATTGTTGCCTCAACCCAGTGATTCATGCACTGTGGGTGGCACTCGCTGGATCTGTGAATGGATGGAGTTGCTGGTCATTTTCGAGGTCCCATGCCTTTGCACATGCTCTTCCTAATTACTTGAAATACTGTCTTCCGTTTTCCCTGCCTGATTGGCCCCTTCCTATCTCTCAAGCCTTGTGGACCCTTCCCCATTTGCTCCAGGATGAAGTGCTTATGTCCTTCTGTGTTCTTAGGGCACTTTGAACATGCTCCCTTTTCAGCGTGTCTCCCATGGTGCTGCAGATAGCTGAGGAGGGGTCTTTCTCCACCACTGGAGAGCTGCCCTTACTCATCACTTAATCCTCAGACCCTAATATCCCTACCTAGGACTTAGTAGGTACTAAATAAATGTTTATTGAATGAATTACAGTATATGTTTGTCCTTTTCTAATTGATTTTTAACATTAAAAAGCCTAGGCATTAACATAATTTAGAGAAACACGGTGGGCAGACCATGCCAGCATGCACGCGTCTCCATCATCTTCATGGACATTTTTTCTATAATAAAATTTTATTTACACCATCCATAGAACATTTACTTTTATGATTCTTTTAGATTATGAATATGGATCATTATGGATAAATTTAGAAATATAGTACAAAAATTCTGTTAGAAAAATATTCATATCATCTTTAATGCTACCACCCAGGCAAGGTATTCTCGTAACATTTTGCTATACTTTTCTTCTTAAAAAAAAACACAGTGTCTATATTTGTGAGCATTTATATCTATCATTTTATATGTAGTTTTTACCAATTACACTCATTGGCTCTGATCACACAAGTATGCACCTGTAACGCTGTATATTTTTAAAATTTAATTTTAAATTGCACTCCAAACATTTCTGGTGTCATTAAGTGTTAGGTTTGACTTTTAGTGTACCAGAATATTATTTTCAAGGTTTTTGCATGTCATATATAGAGATGATGCTGTCCTACCCACTGCATTAACGTGAAACCTGGTTCTATTATTGATGTGCCCTTCAACTCCTGGAAATGAATTCATATGACAAAAGCCAGCTGTACTTCAAGTCACATCAAGTGACAGAACAAAATACACAATAAAGAGGTTCTGAAGTGTAGTCACTACTTGACATTAAATCCACAAAAGGAGATGAGATGAGAATGATTTGCCATAGTTCCTGAATGGGAAAGTACAGGTGAGAACTCTCAGATACCGTGGGCTTGGGGTGCCCTGTATTATAAGGTGGAATTTACTCCCAGAGAAGCTGCAACTGTCATTAGATGTCATGGAGAAATGTCGGGACTTGTTCTGAGCCCTTGGTCGATGGAAAGAGATGAGAGAGTGGAGACCCTAAAACAACTATGGGAAGAGTTGTTTTTGTTTTTTAATCTGAAACTTCTTTTTTTAATCTAAAACTTAGCAAAGTTAATAAAGAGGCTTTTCGGTGGAAAAGATGGCACGTGGAACCACATGACTAAGACTAATTCCCTGGCGTTTTCTCTGACACCTGTGGATGCTCGTTTCACTTTTTAAAGCAAATCTGATGAAACTACACACACGTGCTTCAGAGGCTGGGTTTCGACTGTAGTTCTGTCCCTTTGGCCTAGTTTCACTATATTTCTCTGAGCATCTATTTCTTCATCTGTAAAATGTAAACAATAATACCTCCTAGCGTTGTTTTCAGATTTAAATGAGCTGTTGTTTGAGATTTAAATGTAAAGTGCCTAGCATGGGGCCTGGTACCTTGAGGCTTGAAATAATAGTGATTTTCAGTTCTCTTTCTACCTTCTGCCTTTCATTTCTATTTCAGTAAAAATGTGTTCATTTGCTGCTTGTCATGCCCTGAGGGTAAAACTGATATGGCCTCCCTGAAGCCACAAAGCTGAAATAGACAGGGATGTTGTTTTTAAAGAACTTACAACCTGGGGTGATGAGGAATAGATGTTTAAGCATCAAACTATACTATAAGACAGAATAAAATAAAGGCTGAGTAGAGGTGTAAAAATTGTGCTGGTTGTGGTGACCTGGGAGAACTTAATAGAGGAGAGGATTATGATACAGGCATTGAAAGATACATGGATTTAAAATTTTTTTTTAACTTTTAATTTTATACTGGAGTGTAGTTGATTAACAATGTTGCGATAGTTTCAGGTGTACAGCAAAGTGGTTTAGTTATACATTTTCCCATTTAGGTTGCATAATACTGAGCAGAGTTCCCTGGGCTGTACAGTAGGCCCTTGTTCGTTATCCATTTTAAATATAGCAGTGTGTACGTGTCAGTCCCAAACGCCCTAACTATTCCTTCCCCCCACCCTTCTTCCCCCTCATAAAAGATAACTCTGACTGTGAAATTGCATATGTTTGGTGAGCAGTGAATTGTCTGCTTTTTGGCTTGAGCATGAGTTAGGGTCTGGAAAAATAGTGTGGTGGCAGATCTCTGATACAAAGAGCTTCACTCTATGACTGAAGAACTTGTATGAAGCATAAGACAAAAAAAACACCTGGGCTATCTCATGTGTATAATCCGTACTAAGAACTGCAAGCAAGGTACCAAATGGTTGTGGGATGCTTGCCAGTAAGCATTGGTGATCCCATCCGATGTCACTTATTATCAGGCTAGATACTGTCCTTGCTTGCCGTATAAACTCCTCTAGCTAGAGAGCATATGATATACTTGATGGTGAAAGAATTTATGAAGGAGCAGTCTAAAGAAATAGGACCTGTTAGTATGGAATTAGACATATGATTTCTCTTAGAGTAAGGAGGTTCTTCAAACAAACACTGCTACCAACCTCTTTTCTTTGGAAATAGGAATCAGAGTCCCTAGAGGTAATTTACCTTCAACTTTTAGGAATTCTGCTTACATCATCCTGAAGATCTGTCCTAGAGAATTTAATTGTTGTCTGGGGGTCAAAATAGATATAGCTGAATGTTGTGCTTATAAATAACAGAAATTAACAGGTAAACTGGGATGTCATGGATTAAAAAGTCAAGCGCCAATATGGCCACTGTAAGAGCACTTTTATGTATTTTGTTGTTTCTGCTTCTAGGGACCTAATACCTATCATTGCTGCTCTGGAATACAATCAGTGGTTCACTAAGGTGTCCTCTAAGGATCTAAAACTGGTAAGTAATTGAAGATGTTGCTTAGCTTTGCTGAATTTCAAAAACCTGATAATTATATAAAAACACAACACACATTTGTTTTTCTACCACACTGGTGAGCTGCATACATGTTATTTCTTAGGGGGATATTTTCTTATAAATGATCTGCAGACCATTTTATAAAGTTTGTAATGTGAGATGCTTCAGAGAAGTACTTCCTCATGTTTTCAGCTCCTTCAGGCAATTTTAGATGATGAACAGAAAGACACATTTAGTGGAGCCTTCAGTACATACTCATTCTGTTGGCAAAGACTATTAAAGTTACATTTGCACAGCTACAGATAGCAGGTTTTATGTTCCTATCTTGCGTTCCATCTCCACAAAGCTTCGCTTCCTGAGAATTTAGGAAAACGTTGCTAAGGTAGAGTTGGTCCGGTTTAATTATGATAGTTAGCATTAATTTTCTAGATGAGTTTTTGGGCAGATTTATGTGTAAGCAAAATGAAATCAAAGTGAAATCTGTTAGTTTTCATAAGGCATAGGGGAGCCAAAGTTTTGGTCTGTTTTACTATTGGAAATAAGATGCTCTGTTGGGTTTTTTTTTTTTTGCAAATTCAAAGCAGCCATATGGACAGATGCTTATCCATGAGTTAGGTTTCTGCTGCTTCATTTTAGCACAGAAGATAATTTAGATGTTGTTTTATTGGAGACTCTTACATTCAAGCCTCCACCTTTCAGAGGTCATAGAAACTGGGGGTTTAAGATTTTAAAAGTGAAGAGACAGGATTTGGATTGAGACATGGATCTATTGAAAGTGGAGGGTTGAGATTTGCTGGCAGCCAGCCTGCTGGTTCTCTGAACTTGCCTGGCGTGTGAGTGGCTTAAGGTGTTATAGGTATGAGCATAGGCAGAACTCATTTGGGGATTATTAAGAGCCAATGCAGCAGACAAAAAGAGTGTGGGCTTGGAAACCCACAAATCTGGGTTTCAGATTCTGACTCTTATTACAAGGCTGTGTGACCTTAGATACATTACTTGACCTTCCAAGGGCCTCTGTTTCCTGCGTCCCTATTATTGTGAGCTAGTTGGAGCTCATGTCTTATCAGAATCTGTGGCTCAATAGCTATACAGTAAAACTTGGTTTAATAAATAGATGTCAAATGAGTTTGTCGAATGAATGAATGGACATAGAAATATAACTATTTTGCAGGTTATTGAGATGAGTAAATAATGTGTATAGAAATTCTAACAATGCCTAACGTATTACAGGCGTGTCACAATCAGATTAGCAAAGAGGCTGAGAAATGAACAAATGGGGGAGCATGAATTATGGAAACTGTATCAGCTACACGGCCCGGGGTGGTGGTGGTGGCGCCTGAGGTCAGTGATGATTTGAGGTACGGATGGTGACCTCCCAGGGAACAAACAGCCGTGATGGGAGACCTGGGAACAGAAGTCTCTCATTGCTGTTTGCAGGGATGGGGACCATTTGCAGGACTGAACCAGCAGAGATTCCAGATGCACGAGGGGAGCCATTTTGAGGAATGAGAAGTAGATTAGCTCAGGGATTGTGGGATCAGAGAGAACAATGCTTTTCAGGTTTCCTGGTTCAGTCAGACATTCACCTAAGCGCATGATTTTCAAAATGGGGCACAAGAAAGCTGTGAGGAGGTTGTGGAAATCCCACTTTTGGAAGTTGTCCCAAATCATTAGTACCAGGCCACCGGTGCTGCCATTCTGTCATTATTCCTCCCAGGCAGCATCTCCTTTTAACTGCCTTAGATGTTTAGGGAAGAAAACATGTACCTAATTATTTCAGTCTTGGCTAGACAAAGCGTGTAAGCGTTCATATGCTTTCTTGGGTGTCCCGGGATGGCAGGAAGTGGAGTGACAGGATTTGAGGATTGCCCTCACTGCTTATCTATTAACTGAGATTTAAACATAAAAATGCAAACGTGCATAGTTTTAATATTTGGTATTTAAAAATGAAAAATGGTCTTTGGGCTATCTCTCTGCAAGTTTTCAAAAAGAATACTAGCAATTCTTCCATGTTTGTTACCCAAAGTTAAAAAAACCAAGAATGGGGCTTCCCTGGTGGCGCAGTGGTTAAGAATCTACCTACCCACGCAGGGGACACGGGTTCGAGCCCTGGTCCAGGAAGATCCCACATGCCGCCGAGTAACTAAGCCCGTGTGCCACAACTACTGAGCCTGCATGCTGCAACTACTGAAGCCTGTGCGCCTAGAGCCTGTGCTCCACAACAAGATAAGCCATCGCAATAAGAAGCCTGCACACCCCAGCGAAAAGTAGCCCCTGCTCGCCGCAACTAGAGAAAGCCTGCACGCAGCAACGAAGACCCAACACAGCCAAAAAGAGAAATTAAAAAAAAAAAAGAAAAAAAAATGATACTTTCCCTTTTGATGGCTTCTACAGTATGCAGCCTCAGAACATTTTCTAACACCTGGTCTGTTTGAGGCAAAGGAAGGCATTACACCTTCTGTGAATTTTTTAAAACACGAAGTGTAAAAAGAAGTAACCTCCTCTCAAGTTATATGAATTCTCTGGGTTGTTAAGATTGCTGCTTGCTCAATAGAAGTCTCCTGAGCTTAAGGTACCACAGGAAAAATATGACATATGCTTTATGCTGATCTTATGAAGCCAGTTAGCAGTCAGTATCGTGAATTTAAATGGAGGGATAGAGGGATTTTTTTTTTTTGAAGATATGCTGAATATGCAATTAGGACCAAGATTCTGGACTCATTAAATTAGCAGTAGAATTGAGGTCTTGCTCAACGCTCTCAGTTTTAGAATTTAGGCAAGTCATTGAGCATCATTGGGTCTTTTTCAATCATTTAAAAATGATATGGTTGGGCTGGATAATGTACGTGGTTCCTCTTAGTTCCAAATTTTCATATTTGTTTTATTGAATTAGTTCATTTGTTATTTTATAGTGATTCTTCTAGTTTTTATACTGTACTTTTTATTTTTAAATTTTTTTAAAGTTGATTTTCTTATTTTTTAAATTTATTTTATTTTATTTTTTTTGGCTGCGTTTGGGTCTTCATTGCTGCGCGCGGGCTTTCTCTAGTTGAGGCGAGCAGGGGCTGCTCTTCGTTGCGGTGCGCGGACTTCTCATTGCAGTGACTTCTCATTGCACAGCGTGGGCTCTAGGTGTGCGGGCTTCAGTAGTTGTGGTGCGCGGGCTCAGTAGTTGTGGCTCGTGGACTCTAGAGTGCAGGCTCAGTAGTTGCGGTGCATGGGCTTAGTTGCTTTGCAGCATGTGGGATCTTCCTGGACCAGGGCTTGAACTTGTGTCTGCTGCATTGGCAAGCGGATTCTTAACCACTGCACCACCAGGGAAGCCCTACATTTGATTTTTAAATAAATACAAGCTCTTAGAGAGTCATTGTATTAATTCGTTAAAAAAAATTTCCTCTAAACCTGTAAACGTAGTGCTGAACATGAAGTAGACATTTGGGGAAGACTACGTAATGGTAACATTTACTTGTTATCTAGGTTTGTGTGTGTATCTCTTTAAAATGTCCATCACTTTATATTCTTTGGTGTAGCAAATAATGCTTTTCATGTAGTTGGCACTTAATAAAAAGTAGCAAAATTAATGTAATCATGAACGACTTATTACTCTTCTCCCCTACTGGCATCTTTAAAGAAAAGTTGGACACACTTTTCATACATTTTTTAAAAAAACTTTTATTACAGTAATTATGCCCAATGGGTAAATGAAAGCCCTGCTTTACATCCTGGCTTTGGTAAATTACTTTTCTGGATGCTCTGAGCTAGCCCTGGAACGGTAATGATACCATGGATTGTTTCTGGAAATTAGAATAATCTTTGCAAAAACGTGTCTGAGTAATCACTTTTTATCATGACGACACAGAATAAGATCAGTTCCTCTGGTTGTACATTGTAAGGCGAAGAATTATACTGATGAGGGGTCACCATTTTGAAAATCACCACTGTCAGCATAATATAAATTGCAGGCATTGGGTCACTTGGAATTAATTTTCCTCTCCCCTCATCAATCTGTGGGACACATTAGAAGCCCAGGAATAGTGTGAAAGCAACAATATAGACCCAGTGGGATCAAGCAGCACAGAAGAATTATAACAGCCTTAAATGCTGGGTGACTTGGTGGTTTTTCCAAGTCAGTTTTTCTAAAGGCTGCTTGACTGGAGAACTTTTGCTATATTTTATACTGTTCCCATAATGGTTAATCCACTTGGGTATTTATGATCTGATAAATCAAAGAACTATAATACTTTTATGTGGTTTTTAAGAAAAGAAACTGCTTTGACATTTGTATGCATGACACAAAATGATTTCTCTCTCTTTTTAAAATAATATAAAGGATTTAAATAGACCCTAGATTATAATGACATTTAAATATCACTTTTTAATGTCCAAATAATTTTAAGGTCAGGAGCCACCTTAAATTACTTTTGGAATAAGGCAGGATATAAGTAAATATAAAACATAAATAAATAAAAATTTAAAAGAAAAAATTATGCACAATTCTACCAGGGCACAACTCTTCATTTTTCATAGTCCCCTCAAGACTTTTGCTACATAGCTTACCTATTTCAATTGTTGTAATCTTTATTAAACATTTTATTTTACTTATGCATTTTCATTTAACATTATATCATAAGAATTTAAAATATTTTGACAGATGTAAGTTTACAACTACATAATTTTTGTAAACATGAGGTTTATTAACATGAGACCATTAATTACTGAAGTCTTTCTTATTACCTTACCCTATTTAGAGATTACTAGTAGGAGCATCGTAATACCTAACGATTATCAAGTGGTTATTCAGCCTCCCTTTTCAAGTACATGACATCTTTAATCTAATTTTCTTATCTACAAAAAGGGAATAGTAATACTTAATTAACAGTTTTATAATGAAATGCATGTAAAGGGCTTAGCTCAGTGAAGAAAGCCTCATCATTGTCATCATCACCATTGTTGCAACCACTCAGTCTTTAGTTTGTTATTTTGGATATCCCTTTCTTGGGAATTCCTTTTGGTTTTCCCAGGGTTGGGTGAGATACGCCTCTGTATGCCCATAGCACTACCAAAAATGGCCTTTCTAGTTTTCTATTTCTATATTTCTGTTTTTCTATCATAATGGTGTATTTCCTTCTTGTCTGATTGCCTTCCGGAGGGTACACTCTTGAAGGCAGACACCTTGTCCTCTACGTTGTATTCCCAGGACCTTCATTGTGAGGGGTGTGTAGTAGTAGATGTTGAGTCATAGTTTGTTGAATGAATGATTTATTTAACAAAAACTTCGCATCTGCATAGATTTATGACAGTGAAGTGAGATTATTTTTAGACTTATGACATGCTCAAAGAATATTTTCTCTTATAGTCCACTGATGTCTGCGAACAGATCTTGAGGGTGGTGAGTAGGTCCAATCGACTGGAAGAACTGGTGTTGGAAAACGCTGGACTCAGAACGTGAGTATTTCCTGAATACATGAATGTGTTGCTTTAAAACATTTTGCCATTTCCTCTAAAATTAATATATAGTTTTGAGAAAAACGTTAGGCTACTCACATATAGAGTATAGTGTATTCCTTTCTTAAAAAAAGTCTCTGTGATCCCCATCATTATCATGAAGGTCAAGGATTTTCTAACATCTTTTGCAGTTGTGTCACATGGTATGTTTGATGGTACATAAGTATAGTGGTTAAGAGCGTGGACCCTTGAGCCAGATGCCTGATGGCTTTGGGCAAATTGTTTCAGTTCTCTGTGCCTCAGTCTCTTCATCTTTAGGGTGGAGATAACAATAATGCCTACTTTATAGAATATGGTAGTAAGGATAAATGAATTAATACATGGGAAGTGTTTAGAAAAGTATCTTTCATATTATAGATGCTATGCGTTAGCTTTTACTAGTATCATTAATGGCAGTCATAGTAATAACACATTTCATAGGATGTTACTGCTTTGTTTTGAGCTGTTTTAGCCATTTCTCTCCCTTTTCAAATTCACACTTAAATAATCTTCATCTAGTGGTTCAGTAACCAATACCCAAGCCTTACCAGGGGCAGGTGAGTTTGAATCTGCTGGAGTAAAGATTTTACTGCTACTACGTGAGGAGGGTTGACGGTTTCATAATCATAGCACTTAGTGCGTTATTTTACGTTAAACACACCTGAGATAGTGATTTTGACTTTTGTTAAAATATAGTGCTAGCAACTGTAGCCTTTAAATTCAATGATTAGGGCAGTCAGTTTTGCATTCATGATTATTGCATGAAATTAGAACTGATACAGTGAATAGCCTACTGTACTTTTCATGAAAAGCAGGTTCAGTTTAGGATTTGTTTTTTAAGTCATGAAGGAGCCAAATAGTACTACTAGTAGCATCCTGCAGTGTGTCTTTAAAGGGGCAATTATATATTTTCTTTTTTCTTTTGAATGAGATTTTGACTGATCAAGATGAACCATATTCTAGCTATGGCTTTACAGACTCTAATGAGGATATGAACTAGGGTAAATAGATTGGTTCTTAACAAATATATGATATATAGGTTAATATCGTAAAGAATGCTTTTCTCTTTTTAGATTTCACCCTAGCTATTCTAGCTTTAAATTTTTTATTTGAGCAGTTTTACACTTTGTGTTATTTCATCTGACTGTTTTGTTTACTTGCAGAGATTTTGCACAAAAACTGGCCAGTGCTCTAGCACATAATCCCAACTCAGGACTCCATACGATTAACCTTGCTGGCAACCCACTGGAGGATCGAGGTACCGTAACATTTACGTGACCATTGATGCCAGAACTGTAAGAGGATTAGGGAGTTTTAATTGAGCCATGCCTGAAGAATAGTGTCAAGCTTAGCTGTAATTATGTTATAAATGCTGCTGATGCTCTTGTTGGCTTCTAATTCTTTCCACCCCTTTGTGAAAATACTCGTGCTACAATTTTATCAGCTGATAAGCTATTCTTGAAGTGACCCAGATGGAAAGGAGGATATTATTTTTATTTATTATTTTTATTGAAGTCTAGTTGATTTACAGTGTTGTGTTAATTTCTGCTGTACAACCAAGTGATTCAGTTATACACATATATACATTCTCTTTTATATTCTTTTCCATTATGGTTTATCCCAGGATACTGAATATAGTTCCCCGTGCTATACAGTAGGATCATGTTGTCTATCCATTCCAGATGAAATAGTTTGCATCTACTAACCCCAGACTCCCAGTCCATCCCTCTCCCCAACCTCCCCTCCCCCTTGGCAACCACGTCTCTTCTCTATGTCTGTGAGTCTGTTTCTGTTTTGTAGGTATGTTCATTTGTGTCATATTTTAGATTCTACGTATAAGTGATATGGTTATTTGTCTTTCTCGGAAAGAGGATATTATTTTTAAACTATTGTATTGATTTTTTATTGCTGGGTAACAAATTACCAGAAACTTGGCAGCGTAAGGTGACACAGATTTATTACGACACAGTGTTTTGGGGTCAGAAGTCTGGGTAGAGGTTAGGTGGGTTCTCAGTGTCATGAGGCAGAAATCAAGCTGTTAGCAGGGGCTGTGATCTTACCTGTGACCTGGGGTCTTCCTCAAGCTCTCTGGTTGTTGGCAGAATCAATTTCCTGAGGCTGTAGGACTAGGTAATTATTTTCTTGCTCGCTGCTTGCCAGGGACCACTCCCAGCACCTGGAGGCTGTGTTCAGGTCCTTGCCATGTAGTCCCCCCCTCTCACAACATGCCTGTCTGCCTCGCGTTCCAGGCCAGCAGAAGCACATCTCTCTGATGCTCTTTCTTTCAGTCTGCTCACCTGTTTGAGTCAGACCCACCCAAGACAATCTCCCTTTTTTTTTTTTTTTTTTGCGGTATGTGGGCCTCTCACTGTTGTGGCCTCTCCCGTTGCAGAGCACAGGCTCCGGACGCGCAGGCTCAGCGGCCATGGCTCACGGGCCCAGCTGCTCCGCGGCACGTGGGATCTTCCCGGTCCGGGGCACGAACCCACGTCTCCTGCATTGGCAGGCGGACTCCCAACCACTGCGCCACCAGGGAAGCCCCAATCTCCCTTTTGATTAACTCGGAGTTGACTGATTAGTAACCTAATCACATTCATAATATCCCAGCATATTCATTGGTCTGCCCACACACTTGAAGAAATTATAGCGGGTGTGTTTACCAGGGGGCAGGAATCTTGAGGACCGTCTTACAATTCTGACCATCACAAATGTTTTCAAACTTTTAACAGGATTTGAATGTAAGAATAGAGAGAAGTTGAAGGACTAGATTTCATGATGAGGCAAAAGAAGTTTTCATTACAAGTGTTTGTGTGAGTAGAGGGAAGAGTCAGTAGGTTTAGAAAGTGAAACTTGAGAGTTTGAATTCACAGTGGGAGAACATTGATGGATGAGGTTTAAGATGAAGTAGCTTTGTCTCTAGAGGGAATACTTCGTTTTCATTATCTGTGGCAGGTGTTTTCCAGCATTGTTGAATAAGGGCCTTTCATCTTGTGATGTTACATATTCGATGAGGATTAATTATTAAACTGAGCTGAAGATACTGATATAGACATTCAGTTCTGCTTTTTTATTCCTGATATTGACATTGTTCTTCATTGAAAAAGACACCCATGTGGTTTCCAAACAAACATTCGAAGAGGAACTTCACAGCCTCTGAAGTAGTGAACCTAAAGGAAGGTTGAGACTGAATTGGAAAACTAGTTCACATGAAAGACACTCTCATAGATATATAGGGCAAAGCTGAAAATAATGGATACATATCCCTGCAACAGGAGTTTCTCTGGGGTTTAGTCTTTTCTTTAAGAAAAACAACTGTTCTATTAGTTGAATGCCACAAAGAGGTGACTATAACAAAGTGGGAACCGTTATAGATCACCTTTTATAGACATGAGGGCTGTTTGGCTTTTGTTTTTAAGATGGAAGGGACTTGAACATTTTTCTCTACTGACAGGACAAAATCAGTAGTTGTTAAAAGCCAGTTGCTAAGGATGTGAAATCCAGAGTGCAGTGAGGGACACTCCTTAGTCATCAGGCAAACACAAATTCAAACCACATTGAGATACCACTTCAGAGCCAATAGTTTGCCTATAATCAACATAAGTGTTGGAGAGGATGTGGGAAATGGGAACTCATGCATTACTGGCGGGAGTGTAAAATGGGGCAGCCTCTTTGGATACTGGTTAACCAGTTGCTTCAAAAGTTAAACACAGGGGCTTCCCTGGTGGCGCAGTGGTTGGGAGTCCGCCTGCTGATGCAGGGAACATGGGTTCGTGCCCCGGTCCGGGAAGATCCCACATGCCGTGGAGCGGCTGGGCCCGTGAGCCATGGCCGCTGAGCCTGCGCGTCCGGAGCCTGTGCTCCGCAACGGGAGAGGCCACAGCAGTGAGAGGCCCGCGTACCGCGAAGAAAAAAAAAAGTTAAACACAAATTTGCTTGATGACCCAGCAGTTCCACTTCTAGGTGTTACCAAGAGAAATGAAACGTGTGTCCACAAGAAGACTCGTGAATGAATGTTGATAGCAGTGTTATTCATGATCGCCCCAAAGTGGAAACCCAAATGCCCATTACTGGTGAGGGGATAAACAAAATATGGTGTATCTGTACTGTGGAGCACTTACTCAGTAGCATGAGAGAACGTGGCACTGATCCTGCCTAAGACACGGTTGAACCCCCAGAAACGTTACGCTCAGTTGAAGAATCCAGACCCCAAAGACCTCTTGTTATTGTTTGGGTTTGGGAGGCAGTGAGGGGCAGAATGAGTGTGAGGCCCTTCATCTTTCTTGTCATGTGCGTCATATGCCCTGAGGTGCAGCCCTACTGGACAGCCTTGTCTATTGGACCCTCTCCTTTGGTTTAAACTCCTGCAACAGTGCTTCCTTCATTCTGCCTCACTGTAATTAGATGTGGATGTTTCTCCACCAGCTTAGTTCTCTTCCCTACTTCTGTCCGTCATTCTTTCCTAACCTTCGAAGACACACTACATCTAGCCTAAGGCCTTGTACGTAATCAATAAATATTTTCTTTAAATTTGATTTCATTTAATCGAATTCCCTTTTGTGGTTTTTAAATTGCAGTTGAAAACCATGGTGAAGTTTATAGAGATTTCTTTTATACAGAGTCAGAGCATGTATTCAGAGATGACGTTTCCCTGCCTCTTTGCTCCACTTTCCTACCTGTGTGACCTGATTTTGTGCATCTTTTCACCTACCTGCAGTCTGTTCCCAGGTGTTAGAACCATGAACCCTTCCAAGGATGTTTTCCACAGCTTGGTGCGTAGATACCGACTCTTCGGGGTGTTTTCTGCTCACTTACATTCAAGTTTTGACACTCCTGACACGTTTCTGCCCCCTCTAATTCATTCGTCGCTGTGTTTGCCGGTGCCCTGGGACAATTGCCAACACCTGTATTCCCCACCTTTTTTCACTCTTGGGGCTGACCCTCCTGAACACCGATTCTTTACAGGCTTTTTTTTCATCCAGGCTAAATATCTGAAAGTGATCGGTAGCTTTTCTGCTCCTGGATGGAAAGTCCACAAGAAATCCAACTGAGTGTAAAATATTTATAGAAACTTCAAAATAGGGAAAAATTTTCATGACTTTTTTTCTGAGCTTTTCAATGGAAAACAATAAAAAAGCATGGGGGAGGAGTTTGCAATTGAATTGTTTAGTCTATAAAGAGAGACCGAGCCCAGGAAGATTATTTACAAGGAATTGCAAAGAAACACAAGGCAGTTTGGCAGCCTTGAATTCTGAGGAATTTAAGCACCAAGTGGAATTTGATTTTGTACCTGAACCATTCTTTCAGGGACTTATTTGGAAACTCTAGAGAGGAAGTTTGGCTCCTTGCTTTGTTATATGAAAGATGATGCAGCACAGCCCTGATATTTACAGCTCAGCTTCCCTGTCAGGCTCATGTGCAGAGGACAGGCAGCCTTCTGTTGTTAAGGGGCTTGGGGTGGAGGAGGTTGAAGTATGATTTAGTAGGAGGCGTGTAGTGTGTATGGGCAACGTTTCCAATGCTGGATGCCCTGCTTCCGCTCTGCGAGAGCCCCACAGGGCAGTGAACGGACCACACACAGGCAGGAGCTTCTCTTATCCTGTTTGTGGGGCCGGCCCTGCGCCCCAGCTTGCTCTTGGCCTTCTAGCCCAGTGTGTTTTCAGATTGTGGGTCAAGACCTGGTAAGCATTAAAAAAAAAAAAAACAAAAAAGAAATAGAATAGAAAATATCAGAGTGCATTGTTCAGGAAAATTTGGGTTTTAGTTTTCTATTACATGTGTATGTGTTTATTTTGGTATGAGGTTCCTGCATCATGATGACAAATCTCTTTCTTTATGTGGGTCATGGTTGAAAAGGCTTGAAACTCCCTGTTCTAGCTGAACTTCATTAACTAGTTCTGTGGTGAGTCCTCTGGGCTGACCTAGTATCTGAACCAGGGTGTTTCAGTCATCACCTTGTGACTAATCCTTTGGATCTGATGACTTTTTGGATCAAAGTTGAGTGTTTTGGGGGAATGCAACTCTTCTCTCTCTGCTCATTTCACACACTTTCCTTCCGTAAATGTCACAAGCTCTGTATTCTGTTCTCCCTAGTTACCCGTCCCAGTTATCCTAGATTTTATGATCTTAGCCTCATGAGGAATGTCTGTCCTTATTTCCTCCCCTCACTTTGTTCTAAATTGGATTATTTTGTTTAAAGATGATTTAGAATCCTGTCTTGGAGTGTTTTTCTTTTGGAAATGTTGACCTGAAGCACCCAAA